ATTATTATTATTATTATTATTATTATTATTATTATTATTATTATTATCACTATCATTATTGTCATACCTATATATCGAAATAAGTAGGTTTTTTCAATTATTATTTTAATTGATTGGGGATCAGCAATAAATAGCTAAATCTCAAATATAACAATCTAGTGCCATTTTATTGCTTATATAATAAGATGATCTTTACAAGGAGAGGATGGTTTGGGAGTTAGAGCACGTCCCCCATCGGCCATATTTTGTTATATTTCACCAAACTCCGAACTTACTCATTAGACCGTATAGATTTATTTATTTAATAATATTATGATTGAATAATAAATGGAGGCTAAGAATAGTGTTTTAAATATCCAATTTTATTCCTATTCATAGAAATTCGTTATCGCAACTCGACGAGCCATAGCCAATGAGCTGTGGAGTGATGTCGCGAGAATGATTACTATTAACAGTAATTAAGCTTTGGTTAAGAAATTTGTAGATGGTTTTATACAAAGATCTCTTGAAATATTAATACCGATTTTAACTTATAAGTTTATAATATTTAAAAAAAATGTTAGTTTATAGGATTATTTTTAATTTTATGAAATGATTAATGATGCAATGGTTTTAATTACCTTATGAGAGAGGAGGATGCGGTGTACCTTATATTTTGTGGTAATTTTTGATTTTGTAACAATAGATTAAAAATTCCTTTTTATGTTATAAAAGATATAAATAATTGTAGTTCTATTATTTTTTCTATAATTCACAGGCTGTTGGTTATATTAGCAATATTCCCTGTCACTACATCTGCAAATAAACGTTCATTTTCAACTCTCCGTAAAATTAAAAATTTTATAAGAAAATAAATACTGTTAAGAAAAACAGGGTATATGATTAAGCTTTAATGAATATTTATAGAGATATACCTATACCCATGGCAGAGGTTATTGATGAAATTACTCTCTAATGCCGTTGCTTATAATTCAACTAGGTAATCATAGTATGTGTCATTACATACATTTTATTTAATGTTGTTTTTTTAGTAATATTTTGTAGTTGCTTAATTATTATATATTTTTATTTATTTTATGTGATTTACAATATAAAAGTTATTATTTTAGTTATAGTATAAAAATGTCATATAACTTGTACACATACTATAGATGTATTCTGAAAAAATCAACGATTGAAAAATAAGGACCACCCTAGTATATACTATAGAGTGTAGATACATTCATATTTTATACTATCTAAAAAATATTTTGTACCGATTATGTTTGTAAAACCTATCAATTATTAAAAATTAAAATTGTAACTATTTGATCTGAAAACAAACGGGAACCAAAACAGCTCAGCATAATAAAATACATTTTCTAAACGATAACCAATTCGGCTAAACTTAATAAAATACCTTTTTCAAACGGGAACCAATTCGGTCAATTCGAACCAACTCGGTTACTCTCAAATATACTTCAGACAGATGCGAATGTAGGAGACATTAGAGAATCAGCCTCTCCAGAATATCAAAAAAAAAATGTGATTAAAACATGACCTGACCTATAAAATTCAATAGTTATTTCAAAGTTTCTATTTGACTAACGAATAAAATATATAAATATATAAATATAATATATATATCTCATAATGAATAATAAAGTCTGCTATTTATCATAATTTTCCATTTTATACACGTATATTTTCAATCCCTTCTCCGATATTTTTTCCTGCGTTCGCCCGTGAATTCAGGTATTTTAAATACTTACCATAAGAGTTTTTTGAATCTTCAGAATATTTTGCCATTATATTTAAAAATTTTAGTAATGCATACAGTGTATTCCGATTTGCAATAGGTAGTAACTGTATGAGGTGCTTAATTGCATCTAATTGTAAATGTCTATTACGTATTTCTAGATACAGTATAATGAAGAGATCAGTATAAAGATAATTAATTAAAACAGGTGATATCATTGTTGACGTGTACATACTTTGTGTTTGAATAAAGCATTGATAAAGATCATTACAAAGTAACGCATCAGGTAATGCCCTAAAGTATTCTTTCAATAGAGTTGCTACATCATGAACATGATCTTCACTTTGTGTTAATGTTTCTTCTAACGTTTTACCATGGTCGAAATCTTCTCGTAGCTGTTTTTCGAACAAAACAAAAACTAATATTTAATGCGTATGTAGTTTTTTGTTATAGTTTTAATTAATTACATCGAATAGAGTCTTGTAAACGACACTTTTTAAAAGAATTAAAATACAGATACCTATTTTCAAAAGTATTTAAAAAATGTATTTGAATTCTTGATAAAAAAAGTATTCAAAAATAATTTCAAATACTTGAAAAATTTCATAATATTGTTTACCATAAAAATAATGTAAAAGAATTGTAAAAATATATTCATGTATTATATGGTTGCAACGAATAAAATACGAGTAGTTTGGAATTCCCATAGGCCATAAATCAGAATTATAATATAATTGGAAAATGTAAATAAAACGAGTTTTTAGTTCTTTTATGAAATTGCTAATTGATGTGAATAGTAATGTAATATATTATAGTCATAATAGTGAATAATTTTGTAGACTATAACTAGGTTTTCCATGTTCTGATGTTTGGAATGAATTGTCTAGAACTGATCTGTACGAACAATTTTTATAATATGTCACATACATATTGATTTTATTCACATAATACGAATAAATAGTTGATAAATCTTATTAATATATAATTTGTAAATTAATTAATTATTATTTTAATGTTATAGAATTGTAATAAAATTTGTAAAAAAGTATAAAAATACTTTTATTTAATACTTTTACTCCAGTACTTTACAAGACTAATCAAATATATGTATGTATTTTCTTTAATTGTGTTGAAAATATATATTGATACCTGTCTTAATCTTTTTTTTGAACTGCTTATTCGGAATACTCCAACTTTATGCAGTCCGTATTTTTCTAAGTAGGTTAGGCATGAAGTAACAAAACTAGGAACTCCATTTTTTTTTGACTTTATATCATCATCATTATCGTCAGATAAAATATCTGAACTAGAACTCGTGAAATTTTTAATCAATTCACTAACGGGTGGGGTTGATGTAGAGTCACAGGAATGTGAACGCTAAAATAATATCACATAAAACATAATAACGCTTAATTTAAAATAAATAAATATAGAAAAAAAAAAAAGTTTCTTAATAATATTATAGATCAAGTAACATATTAACCTACCTCACTAGAATCTTTAGGTACTTCAATGTAACTTGAAAAGCTGCTTCGCCCGCGTGTAGATTTTGACACATATTGAGCGTCAGTTGGAACCTTTAAGTGAGATCTTGATGATCGTTCTTGCTCTAAGCAATCGTTTAACGATACACCAAATATTGTACGTGGATAAAGACTTTCTAAAAATAAATACATTAACATTAGTATATTAAATGTTTAATTCACGAAGGATATTTTTTGATTTTTTTATCATTTTAAAGCGTATTATGTTATTTTCTATATAGTTTGATTTTTTTGCTTTCTATTTCATTGTGAATTAGCCATTTTATATTTATTTTATACATTTTATAGTAATCTTGAATTACAAAAAATTAAAACATGTTCATTTATAGAAATGTAATCCGCAGTAGATAATTTACTTTTTTGATTTCTGCAAAGTTTAAAAATACTTATTGCTTCCTCTGAAAATCATGGGAAATTGACAAAGCGATAATAACTAGTTTTATTAAAATATATTATTTATTTGTTTTAATTGAAATTGTTATTTCTAAAAATATAATAAATATGATAATTAATAAGTTCGTAGTTTTGAAATATGAGAAAATACATTTTATATTTAGATTTCAAAAAATATTTGTTATCTTCAAAATATATTTTACCTATCGCTAATTTTATCTTCGATGTAAAAAACAGAGAAGTATTTTGTAGATGTGTACTAAAAAAGAACATTCTAAAAATAGGTAGGTAGTATATTACATACCAATAAATGTTGCGGGAAATATTAATTTATCTGTGAAAATACTACTTATTACGTATTATAAAAATTATACAATAACTATTTTCTATTATTATATTAACACTTCATTTAATATTATTATAATTATATACATAAAACTTCAATAAAGAATATAAAATATTGAAATATCGTTTAATCGTTTGAAATTAAGGAGTATCTTGAACTGTAAAAAACAGTGTTAAAAGATTGACTTCGGAACTATTTACTTTTGTTTACAAACCAAAAAACTATAAAAATTATTTATACATTGTACAAATCATGCAAAACAAAACGATAAAAAAAATTAATACGCATTCTTAGCAACACATGTGAGAATATTTTTACAAAATTTGAAATTATTTATTATACAAAACTACATTATTTTTATAAAAAATTATACTTTGTGATAACACTTAATAAAAAAAAAACATAATTTTAATAAAATGTGTTATTTTTATATAAGTTCCGAGGTGTTTAAAATTGTTCACGCTATAACTGGTTAACGACATCACCATGTACTAAGCGTGTAAATATCAAACGCATAAGTCAAAAGATCAACGTTCAATAACGTTATTATTTATCATTTTATTTAACCGGCACAAATAATCTGAAATTTATGTTTTGGATTCTGATCAGAAGCAAAAAAGCTTATATATTTTACTTACGATTACTTTTTAAAAATCTTTTTGTATAATTTGTAGCTTTAAACTATATTTTAATTTTATTGGAGTTATTTATAATTTATGAACATTAATTGTTCAGATGTATAAAGTATATTTATACTGTATATACTATATATACTATTTGTTCAGATGCATAAATTATATGTATATTATGTAGTAGTCTAAATGTATCTAATTATAAATTAGAATTTCTATCGATATAAACGAACAAAGTCAATTAAAACAAAGTCAGTTAAAGACAACTAATCTAAATTTTATTAATATGTACTTATAAAATACATGTCATAATGAATTGAAAATATAATAGCAGCCATATTAATTCATTTCAAATATTTAAAAATATCATAATTTGCATAAATAACTTAAATAAAATTATACCTATTTTTATTTGCGAGAGAAATACAATAATACCGAACTAAGATATAAATTGGATAAGGAAAGGTTATTGTGTACACACATGATTTGGTAGGAAGTGCCCCAACGATATTATTATTATTTTTTATTTATTACGGATTTAACAACCAAGTTACGAGCTGGGAAAAAATAATTTACAGTTTATACTTAACAGTACATCAAGTAAATATATTTAACATAAATTCGGTTGTACAGATTAGTTTTTTTGTGGAAGTACATTAATAAATTAAAGTTTGTAAATGATAGTATAACTTCTAAACTAATTGGCTGATGGAAGATATTTCTTTTATTAACTAAGTATGGGCATTCCAGGAAGGTGCTTTATGAATATTAAGATTATTAAACTTAAATTGTTAAATTAATTAAAATTAAATTACAGAAGTCGGGCATGGGACTTGGTTCTTTTTTCATTTAGTGATGTTTGTATAGCCGATTTTCATACATTATCATGACACTATACAATTTATACATGAATATATTATCAATATCATCTCTATTTGTATCTTCTATTTAGTTTACAAAATATATTTAAATAGCGTGATTTTTAATAACGTTTACGTAAATCAATCCAATATAATTACTGATCATACTAAAGAATCTATAAAATATTCTTAATTATTTATAATTATTTTATTTTATATATTTATTTTAATTGTATTTTCTAATTACTTTGAACATTATTGATATGTATAAAGGACCTTTTATTAAAGGTATATCCTATGTTATATTGTATTGGTATTAGACGAACATGGATAGTAATTCCGAATACAGTATTTGGTATATTTTATTCAGAATATATTTTAAATACTTTTTTTTTCAAAATATTTAATTTAGCATTTTGAATAATTTTTACAAGTATTTTAAATGAAGTATTTCGAGTATTATGGTTTAATGACATTTTCTAAATTATTTCAGTTTTTTTTCTTTATATAAATCGTATTTTTACTTAAATATTTTTTAATATTTTATATTAATATTATATTATTTTGTTTTTTAGTATTTTTATATAGTGAAAAGTTGAAGAGTTTAAGTTGAATTAAGATAAATAATTTTCGTGGACCAATTTTCAATAGCAAAAGTTTTCAATTAGCGTGGAAAAACGCTTTAAAATGTTTTGATTGTTCCATTTTCGTGGTTTGCAACTGTTTCTCATTCTTTTTTTAAGACTATCTAGTTAACTAGTGACGAAATAAAAGTTAAAGCATTATTATTTATAAAAATTTTTGCCTAGGAATATTTGATAAAATATGTCCAAGACTGAGGTATCGAATATGTGCGATGATACAAATAATTATTTTATCTGGTCTAAAAATAAATCAAAAGTAAATCTCTCCTCAGAGCAAGAAACGTTTAACTTTTTTTGTCAAAATTCTTAAAAAAAATACAAATAAATTATTTAAAACAGCGATAGTTCAAAAAGTGTTTTTATAACGTATAACATTACTCCTTATCAATACTACTAATGAACGCATAGTTAGTTAGCATTGGTAGTTCATTAAAAAAAAAGAGGTAGGATGAATGATAAAAATTTTAAATATGTATTGATGATTAAGTGTAAGAAATGATAAAGAAATATTAATTTATTATTTATTTAAACATTTTTTTTATGTATGTATATATTCAGGATATAACATAATAAACTGACCGATATAATTTTAATTAACTATGTAATAACTTTTATTCTTTTATAATTTTGAGTATTTTTATATTTTAGTTGGATATGGTATAAAATATGTTAATTATATATTTAAAATAAAAAATTATACAAGTATACAAATATTAATAAATGTATTACAATTGTTTACAAATATATTATTAAATATCAATAATGTCAATATCAATTGTGGATATTATTTTTCATTATTTTTTTATAAAAAATTTACCTATTTACCAAACTTAATATTTAAATGAATCATAATGTAACAATTTGAAATTATATAGTTTATAATTAATATATATGTTTATTTTATCAATTATACTATTCTGTTCATTCATAAATATCGAATTGCAAAACAAATCATTTAATGAAATATTTATTATAATTTTTGTTATCAAAATCTACTAAAAATATACGTATATTCTAAATATATTTAGAATACTTTTTGTGAAGTTCTCCAAATTTTAGGGAAATACCATCATTGTAGAGTATTTGATTATGTATTTTGAATACTTTTTTTTTAGTTATTCATAATAATTTTAAAATGTATTATACCTATTAGTCTGGTATAAGGACAATTTCATGAATATTATACATAATATCTATATATTGTAATTTTAATTATTGTTACAATCTTCGAGGAACCAAAACGTCGTTAAATAAAATTATACCGAGCCCTTTTTTCTGTAATAATACACATTGCCACGGTTTTTAATATAAAAAAAGAAATAAATGTTACTTTTAAATTTTTTTGTTATTTATTTATAACAGTTGCTTATTTTTGATAGTTAACTGTGTGGTTGGCATTGGATATGTCATAAATCATTTTCATGTATATAAAATTTGATATCGTTTAAAATCATCTACGTTAGTAAATGTACATGTAAAAATTATTCATGGTGAAAATAATGTTAAATTTTATTAAGTTATAATGCTACTACATATTAATATATATATATATATATATATATATATATATAGTTTAATTTACTTCAAAATTTAAACAGTAGCTTTATCGGCAGTCGAACGACTTTAAATTCCTATATATGAAATAATATTAAGTAATTATAGTTGTAATAAAAATAATTAAAATGCATTTTAATCAAAAATAGTGAGAATAACAAAAATGTTAACATTATTTTTTTCATTTACTATCGTAAAAAAAAAAAAAAATCATAAGTCTATTTTAAATGTTTAGCAATATAAAATTGCCATTTAAACAGAATAATAAAATTGTTGTTTTTTATGAAGTCTATGATTTAAATAATAATTTAGTTATTTATTTTTATTAATTATTTATAATTAGGCAGTGCCATAAAGAAGATATTGAAGTGGTTTCAAGAATCAGTGTCTTGTGGCAAACGACTTCATATAAATTTAAACGCAGCTATTTAGTTTAATTATACCTGCAAATATAATAAAATTCTTATAATTATTAAAATATATGGGAATAAATATGGAAAGAATTAAAAATTTATTATAAAAAGATAAATGTGTCATCATGATAATATGTGTATAGGAATAAAGAAAGTGTTTTTGTATCTAATTAAGAAAAAGTTGACATTTTAAACGTGATTTTTGTAAGTATTAAAACTATTTTTTTATTTTTGTATCAATATATCTTAATAATTGTGTATTTATTACAATCAAGCTGAAAGTGTTTATTTTCATTGTCACGGCTATATGTTTTACTTTATTTTTTTTTTTTGTAAATAGCGTAAACTAGGCCGTGAAGAAATTTTTAAAAATAAACAACCCAGATTTTCGTGAGATTTGTATGCTCTCCTGGATACAGAAACGTGGGATTGACAGAAGTCCGAAGGAACGTCACAGTATGCACAAGTGTACGTAATGTAATGACGATTTAATATCTTGTCACAACCTATGCCAAAAAAATAGAGTTAAATTTAACTTATTTCGCCTGAAAAAACATTCAGACTACGCGCGGATTTCACTGTATATATAACAAATAATTTTTTTCCCATGCGAATTTCCTATTTTATTACCATTTTTGATTACATTTAAACCTTTCTAAAAGTTTGAGTTTTACAGAAAAAAATTTAAAAATGTTATTAAAAGTATTTGGATAAACTATCTTTAAATTAATGAAGACAAACATTATTGTTTACAAGTATTAATAATTTAATTATTTTAGTCACTTGTGCGTGTGTTTTTCATTAATCTTTTATAACATCACTCAAAATAATTTAGTTTTAGATCTTTATTCACTATGGCGATTCAAACAATTATAATTATGATTACACTTATATAAAAAAATGTAAATTTAAAATTAATTATTTATGATGTAAATAATTTTTGCTTTGAGTTTCTGAATAATGTTTTAGCATAATTCTTGAAACCAAGAGTAAAGGTTTTTAAATTTCAGAATCTTTTAAATAATTACGTCCGTACTCAAACTTAAATTAAAAATATAAAACAAAATGACAAAATAAACCCGTTTAATTAGTTACACACCATTTCACCAATTTATTTAAAATACTTCATTAAAATTAAATTAAAATTGTAAATTACAATATGAAAAATATATATTAGATATAAGATTACATATAATATGAAAAATATTAAATTGTTTTTATCGTATAATACTTTACTTACCTATTCAATAATATTAGATCACTTATATGTTGTTTAATTGATTTGTAGCACTCAGCAAATTAAGTCTTAATATAATTTTAAAAAAAATGTTGTTGTTACTTTTATTATAATTATTTTGTCAATGCAATTTTAAATTTTGAAATTTAATATTTATTAAATCATTTTTATTTTATCCTATTTGAATTTCTTTAAAATCCATAAGAACATGAAATGAATGTAGATGTATACATAAATATATGTATACTATGAATACGTGAAATATGTCATTTAATTTTAAACACATTTTATAGGATTTGTTTTAGTCACAAATTAACATACTCAACTATAAAATTAAATTACCTTTTTGTGTAAAATTTATTCTAATTCATATTTTTTTTCGATCTAATTGCATTAAATTTATATACTATAGGTATACTAACATTTTAGAAAAAACAATTTATTTCATGAAATTGTTTAAAATTTTTTAATTGTTAGAAAAAATTAAAAAAAAAAAAAACCAATTGACTGTTCTCTAATTCAAATTTTAGACATTAAACTAAATTAAGCAAAGACAACTTCTTGAAATAATTTTATGGAAGGAAATACGGTTGTTAACGTATTTTATATTATATAAGATGGAGACATATAATTTATGATTTCCTGAAATTTCAGAAGGATGACCTATCCAAAGAAGCTCACTTGTGCCCGAAATATTTTTAATAATAACCGTGAAACGTTGCAAACTGTGTTATTTTATGATTGGGTATTCGTAATATAATATTATTATATAATAATATTATTCACCAATTTAACTATTTTTGATTTTTTTTTTTTTTTTTTACATTTTTATGGATATTATCGAATATCTGTCCATTTTATCTTAATTACAGTTCATGGCAATTTTCATTTCTCTCTGTAAACCTTTTAGTGAAGTTATATAGCAACTAATATTTATTTTGCAGTTTTGCACTTATTAGTTAAAATGGATTTTAAAATAACAAATACTAATAAAAACCATAAGTGTTTAATTTCTCGTAATTTTAATATCACTTAAGTAGAAATCTGGTTTCAGGAGATATAAATTGGGTGCATGTGGGCTATAAATCAACAAACAGTACCTTACCTTTCGGTCGCTAATGAGCTGTACCCGACCAATGACCTTTCCTCTGTATACCTTATTGCTTTATTAATACATATTACTATATAGGCTAAGTAAAAAAAATAAAGTTCCGTGACACAGTATAATATTAGAAACCAGAAAATTCGCATTTAAAATAGTGATGGAAAAAATCCAGATTTTCGAATTTTGAAAGATTAAATATGTATTCTTTTATGGATAATTTATAATAAAGTTTTGTTAACTATATATTTTTTAAGTTTATATATTTTTGAATTCGAATACAGAAATTCACAATGTTAAACCTGAAATTCGGATTTTGAAAACTTCAACGTTCCTGTATTCGCTTTTTTAATTCTTATCATATTGGTTTCGGAGCTTTTGCGTGAAAACTTAACAAATACTTCATTGGCATTCTTTATCGTTTACATTTAATTATATTAAAATATTATGATGTCTGTTAAGTTAATTTTCAAATTGTATAATGATACGTTATCTTATTGTTAAAATTTATAGCGACGTTATGCACGGTTCATGACGATTTTTTGTAAAATGAAAAGAAATAATTGAATTTTAAAAATTAATCTTAAGAAAACAACGATCTGTGAACAAAGGCAAATTAAAAAAAAAAAATTTAAAAAAATAGCGATCTTATAATTTTAGTATTAAAATGTAAAAAAAATTTTATACAGTAAATATAAATTATGAAAATAAAAAAAATATTAAAAAATATCAATTGATTTTTTTTTACCAAAACGGGGAATTTATTACTAGGTTATTCCATAAAATTATTTTAGCAATAACAACAATAGAACCTAATTATATTATTTATTATTTTTGAATTATACATTAGACACAGCTTTTTATTGAACATTTTCATTACTATTATTAATGTTTCCAAATAAATAGCCAATAGACAAATATAAAATAAAAATAAATAATTAAATATTTACTAGCTAATGTTAATCATTTTTTTATTTAAATTGTATTATATGAAATAATTTTGGTATCACATAAATAAATAATCTTAACAAAAGTGACAAGAAATTCAATATCCCAGTAAAAATATTTTCACCAAATAACTTATTATGATTGAGTTATTTTTTAGCTAATACTCCAGTTTAGAACTTTTATTTAATATTAAAGTCATATTAACATTATAAGAAATATTTAATAATTTTTAATAAAATGTTTGTTATTATATTATGAGATTACCACAAAACTATTTTTTATTTTTATATATTTTCACTTTGGGTTAACACATCTAAAAACACAATAACACATCATTGTAATTTAGAAATAAACAAAAAAATAAGATTAATTTTACATCTTTTATATATATATGTATAACTGAATCCTAATTTCCCTTGGTAATGCCATCACGCGTGAATGGCTGGACCAATTTTGCTAATTTTTTTTTTTTTTTTGTTGTTGTATTTGTTATTGTCAGGAAAAGGTTTTTACGAAAAAAAATCAAGAAAATTAGAAAATTAAAGAATACTTAACCACCATATAAAATCATTTCTAATTTACCCTTAGCGCTTTGGACAATATAAAGTTTTTTAATGTAACCTTTTGACGTTTGACATATAATTGACAGAGTTCTAGCTGCAAATATCTTCAAAGAGAGTATAAAAAAACTGAATATCGTTTTATACAGATGGTTCAGTCGGAGTTATTTTATTGATAAAAAATACATATATTATTAATATATTTAAATAATATTTCTATTAAATTGAACTTTTAATATAATGTGTGATGGCTTTAAACTAACCGTGTTGTGCACTAAGAAATTCAGTTATCTTAGATATATTAATAATACATGTATTTTTTTTTTCAAGAATATTTTAATTAAGAATTATTTAAGAAGAATACAATAGTTTTCTTTAATTTACAGTTTAATTTTTGTTTTTAAAAATGCCAGCAAGTAGACGTACAAACTTAAGTTACAGAACTCGTAATGCTGCGAGTCAAATATATACAATAGCAAGTCAAGCTGACGAGCAACACGAAATATTCAAATATATCCAAATATTTTTTTTTCTATATGGAGCAAATTTAAGTTTTTTTTTATGTGATGTACGCTTAGAAGGAGGTAAATTTAATATTACATAGTTAGAATACAATTTTTTTATAAAATTTAATGAATCAAAAATAAATAATAGTGTAAGTATAAAATTATATTAAAATGTTCCATAAGTTTTTAAATTTTGTAAAATTTCAAAAAAATAACATATTTTGTTATATTCAATTAAAATTCTACCCAACTATTACAAAAGATTAAGTTTTAATCATAGTTCTTTATCTCACGTAAAGACTTATCGAAACATCAATAGTTTAAGAAATGCATAATTTTTCTTAAAATATTTGTTGAGATAAGTTAGAAGAGCGTTAAACATTTCTATTTTTCTCTATCCTATATAAATATTTTCAGTATTGTAAATTTTTCTTATAATATAATTCGAAATGACGTGGAAATGTTTTGAATATTTAACATTATGACCGTGATATAAATAATTAAAACTTAATGATTTTATACTTATTTGCAACTATTAAGTGATTATAAGTGAACACAAATATATTTATCATAATTTACTGTCCATTTTTTTATTATTTGTGTATACTTTTAGTTACTCTTAATATGTTCATTAGTTAATTATGTTCCAGATTATTGATCAGTTATACAATTATAACTTTAATTAGTATAATAATAGTATTTTAATTTTAAAAATGTTTACAGCCACACATTGTTGCATTTATAATTTAAGCATATTATATTGAAATAAATATGTATCTCACCGTTATCGTCCTTATCTTTCAAATTACCAGTGGTATTTGCTCTTCGTTTCAAAATATATGGTCTGCGCTTTTTTGGACTAGCCGATAACACGTTCCCTGTAAATTAATTTGAAATTAATCAGCCTTATAAATGCAATAAAAATTTAAAAAATGTGTCATATTTAATTATATTAATATTAAAGAAAATTAATATTAAGCTTAAATAATCGAGAAATTTGTAGAGGCAAATTAAGCAAATCACTGTTCAACATTCAGTGTAACTTTTTAGAACAAAGTGTTAAAATCGTTTATTGTTATCAAATATTTTTGTCTATAATAATTCAAATAATTAAAATGTATAATTCTTTTCATGAAATATTAATAAAATAGTTAAAAATATTGCTTCAAATGGTATAAAGTTTTTCTGAATTAAAAAAACAAAACAACTTATGTCTTATTATGCCTAGCTATGAATTAATTAAATAAAAAAATATATAAAAAAAATTGTTAAATTCATCAGTATAAGGGTTACATTTTTAAATTTAAGTGAATGGTTCTTCATAAAAACACATTGAATTTTTTCATAAATATTAGACGTATGTTATTAAAAATTTTAGGTTTTTTTTCCAAATAAACCAGCTTTAAATAAAAATTGTACCAAAATTATGATGTGAAATATATTTAAAATTTTGATTAATATAATTTAATTCTATCATAAAGAAATATATTATCTTTAAAATTTAAAATTTTTACTTAAAAAGTTATAAATTAAATTATCCATAAATATAGAAAATTCAATATCAATTTAGTAACCAAAATATTAATTATACTTGACTTTTTTTGGTAACTAATTCCAAATTTATTAGATTATGACATGTTATTTATATTTTATTTTATACAAGATTGCATTTATAAAAATATTGTACTCGTATATATTTCTTGAGAAAAAATTACGTGTTTTAAAATGAAAAACTATTTAATAACAGTAGTGTTTAAAAAAATAACAATAACAAAGACTACGAAAATAATAATCTTACCTGTTGGTATTCTTATTGGAACGCCAAGGCTTATTTCCTGAAGTTTATTTAAGGAAACGAACGACAGAATTTCTTTTTCAAGCTCTGTTAGGTCCAACAAGCACAATTCCTATACATAATAACATATTTATTTTAGTATTCATATTTATAATAATAAACAAAATAGATTAAAGTTTACCTTTAGAAGAACTGATTTTCCGCTTGCATGTAACCATAAACAATTACCCTAAACATTTTACATCACATTATCAGTCTTTATGTACAATGATAATACAAATACAAATCAAATATTTATAAAATTTTCATTTGGCACATTGTAACATATGCTGTATAGAATTTTTGTTAAGGTTTTAGGGAATTATAAAAAGTTTTTAAGAAAATTATTTTTATTTTTTGTAATGTATGTTATAAAAATTGTTATCGTGAATAAATTATCACTTTTCAAATTATGTGATTTCTTTTAAAATAATTTTTTTTTGTAAACCGTTTTTTATAATTATTATAAAAACATAATAAAAAACATGGTTATAACTAGAGGAAAAACTTATAATTTATGGTTCATGTTGTCAAATGAAAAATAATGTTTATTGTACATGTTTTAGTACAATTTAGTACTAGGTGTTTTTAAAAGTATACTAAACTAAATCATGTGTAAAAAATCATGAGGTGGAGACGATGAGACTTATTAACTTAGATATTTCGTATTATTTCAAAGTATCGAAAAAAAAATTAAAAAAACGGAGGGATTTTATATATTAATTTTCCTATCGTTTGCTCTGAGTCAACAATGTTTTACAGCTTTATAAATAATACCTTAAATAGCAAAAAAAAAAAAAAAGTAGATAATAACAATAATTTAAAGTAAGTAATTAATTTTATTTCATGATTTATAATGAACATCGTTAAGTGTTAAAATCAAATTAATGTTTTAATAATTACATATTATTTTATATTAGCAATATTTTAATGTTTATTATGTAATTCGGTATAATAATTTTTCATATTTTATTTGAATATTTAATTTAGACTAAACATAGTTTATTTTCTATTTATAATATCTATTGAGTTACCATTAAGATATTAGGATGACAAATTGCTCTTCTTCAAATCATTTTACAATGCTCAGCCAATTATAAATATTGCCAACAATTTTTTTTTTTTTCGAGCTCTTCAGATATTATACTTCACGTAGACAGTCTATACTCCATTATAGGGATTACGGAACATCTAATTAGTATTATTCAAGTATTGTTTGTCAAAATTCCATTACAAAGAGGGGTCAAAATTAACCTATGAGTGATTTGTGCCAAGAATAATATTAATTTTGGCTAAGGAAACTTCCTACTTGATATTTAAACAAATTACACTAAACACCACTGTAATATATTTTTATTTGTTTATTTTTTTTTTATTACAATAAACATATCATGTAAATTAAAACATATTTAGCTTAATTCAGTTAAATAATTGTTGATTAAATATAAATTTAAAAGACAACAAACTATCTTAAATTTCATTGTATTATATTCATAATTTTATATTTTTTTCTTTTTAAAATTAAATATTGGTAACTCAGTATTATTTTAGAATTTGATGGATAATTTCTTAAAAAAAAAAAAATCAAAACATGAAGTATTTTACCATAAAATGTGTACATGGTAAATGCTTAAATTGAACAATATTCACCCAATTTACATGAATTTTATTATAATATTTATGTTATAAATGTGTTTTTATTTTGACATAAAGTTATTTATACAACTTTCAAATTCGAAATAATTTTGTTAAGTTATAAGCAATAATACATGATGTTTATCATACCCAGTATATGTGTTTTATTCACTTTTTAATTATTTATTGTTGGAAAAATATATTTTTTTTTGTTTAGGGATAGGAACATAAATAAGATACTTATATTAAGACATAACAAGTTTGATATATAGATATATTTGACTAATTATATTATATTTATAGTTTATAATGCATTAACAACTAAAATTAACAATAAAATACAAATATACCTACATATTTTATATTTTTTTGACTATTTAATAATATTGATATTTATTTAATAATACCTATTTTAATCAATAGCAAAATATTTATCAATTCGGAGTTATTTTTCAAATTAGAAATAGTGAGTACAAAATTCAGTTAACTATTTGTATTTTATAGTTTAATTATCATTATTGTTGACATAACCTTAAATATTAATTTTCTTTTATAATTGAAACAATGATCTTTATATTTAATTATGATAAGTGGTTTATAGTGTTTAACTTAAATTTCATAAAAATTACATATTTTCGTTGTTGAAATTTACCTTACGTTATAACCTTGATTTCTGTTATAGATCATTTTCGGACTGCCAACAACCAGTGTATTTCTTGACTTGGTGACAAGATAGATTTCTGGTTTGAATATTTATATTTTTATAAAGAAATTTTTAAATGTGTTAAAATGGAACATATATACAATTTTTAATTATCTTACACTAGTAATACTAGAACTTTAAACCTGTAAAAGTACTCATTATTTTATTATCATAATATTTTGTTGCTTAATAACTGAAAACCCATCACTAATAATTGTGTGTATATACTACGTATATTTCTTCGAAAGAAAAATTATTTATTGTTGACATTTTTTTATTTCACCATTAATAAATAGTATTTATTTTATTTTTTGTATTAATATAATTATCTAAAATAATAAATGATCTACAAACTATTTCTTTACAATTGATCGATAATAATTAAATAGTTTAATTAATGTTAGAATGACATTTTAAAAATGAATTATATGTTTACTAGTGTTATATTTATTGCAAACTTAATTTTATAGTCTATTATTAAAATAATTAAATGCTCGAAATGCTTACCAGTGGTGTCCAAAGAGACGCAACTGTATTCGTTCTAGTTTGACTTTTTGAACGTCCTTTCCATATACGTTTGGACATGAACCCTTGCTGAACATTAGTTGAAGATCTTGACTTCTGCATTCCGGGGGCTGAAAAAAAATATTTTCATTTAAACTCGTACCAAACGATTGGAAAAATATCAGTGTTATAATATAATGATTATTAAATTCTTACGCTCAATTATACAGTGTATTTATTATATAAAAAAGTAATGGGATATTCTAGACCATAATGAATGAATAACTCCAGAATATAAATCAATACAAGTAATAATACTTTTATTTATGGTCAAGGATATTATTTGAAAAATATAAAATTTCTTAGAATTGTTTATTACCATTCAAAGATTTTGGAGGAGATAAAGGAGGTGATAGTAGCTCTTCTCCACTAAATGTCGTTCCAGTATCAATACTACTTCTAGAACTTGTTATTCTTGAGTTAGAATTGTCATCTATGGTTTTCAAAACCGACAGCCACGAATCGTCTGTTTGTGTTGATTTATTGGTGTCATCACCTTCACATATATCTGGCTCTCCTTTGCCTTTAATATTTCTTATATTGCGGTCATAGTTCACTCTTTTAAATCTATCTACTTTATCTGTTTCAACGCTTTTTTTTCTAGCCATTCTTAAGTACCGTTTTATAGTGTCACTTACAGAAGGCGATATATCATCATTTTCCATGCTAGTTTTTCGTTGCAAACATTTAGAAGAAGCTTTAGATAAATTATCAAATGTTTCAGACGAATCAATTTTTCTTCGGTTTTCATCTTCAATTAATCCCAATATTACTGGTTCTAAAGGCAAAGTTTGAATACCGAAATCAAAGTACTTAGTTTCCATATCTTCAATTTCGATAACTGGTGGCGGAGATGGTAAATTATAATTTTTATCATTCGGCGAAAATACAATTTTTTTTTTATCATTAAATATATTCAAGTAATCTGATGACGAATTTATTCGATCAAAGTTTCTCTGAGTATCTTTCCACGTAGAACTCAATGAGTTCATAGTAGTGAGTCCTAAATTTGATGATGAGCCAATAACTCTTCGGCCTAAAAATCCTCTTGTTTTTCTTAGTTCAAAATATAAGTTCTCTAAAAGTTTTCTATCCATTAATATATCTCCTATAACTTTTTCTCTATTTGTTGATCTTGCATAATACCTCCTTAAGGTATCTAATAAATTAATTTGAGTGTTATCGCTTTCTAATATATTTGTTCTTAATGATTTTTTATTTTCTAAAGAACGTATATCTTTTGTTTTTGATATATAGTCTTCTAATTTCTCCAAAAGTTGTTCATGGTCTAAAGAGGACTCTTCGTTTGCTGATATTTCTTCGGAATTTCCAATGCAATCATTAATAAATTGAACTAAGTCTGATTTAGAATCAGGACATTGATAATTCGATAACAATGTATTATTTTCACTTGAACCAAATAAAAATTCTTTTCTTAGTTGTTCTAATTCATATCTTCCTGCTGGCCTAGGATGAGCCAAAAATGATACACTTGGTACTTTTACTATATTTTCCGCTTCATCAGCGCTACTAGTGTTTTCTCGGACACTACCTAATTTAATTCTATTTCCTCTAGGCCTACATCGACTTCGGAATCCTAAGGCTCCAGGATATGATTGTTTTCTCCATAAAAGAAATCTAGGTTCCTTCTGACATACTTCCTGAAAGTACGCCTCAATTTTTGGTACATCTTCGGGTCGATTTCCCACGCCGTCAGGTATCAATTTTCTTCCTGCATCTGCCATATATCTCCATGTTTTTCGAGTTAATAGCCACCGTTCTCGTTTAGAACCTCTATTTTTTCTATCTTTGAACGATTCTTTTTCCCACGTTTTACCCATAGCTGCACTGCATTCTCCAATACTGATTCTAGAACTTTTTTGGGTTATTTTTTTCTTTCTTGTCATTAACTTGAAGCTACATTTTCGAGGTTTTTCTTCATTTTCATCACGTGAACTGTTTGGTTCAGACATCGTTTATTTACAAACCACAAATAAAAATGCACATCAAGTTAATAATACAACACCATATAAGATTCATTAATTATAAGTGGTTTAAGATTATTTTTATTACGAAAAACAATAATGATATTAAAGTTAACATAAGAATTTTTAATATTTATATATTTCTTTGTTTAAAAATAATATATTAGTTTGCATACAGATTTATTAAGTTAAATTTACATGAATACACTGGAATGAAAACAAGTCATTGCCGAACTAAAATTCAACTTATTATTATGTACAGTAAAATGTCTTGTCGTAACCGCGACTCGCACTAGACTCGAAAATAGCCGCGGGCATTTTCTTGGTTAGGTAAATTTGTGATAGGAATAGTTGTGTAGGGGAATAGTGGGAGTGAGAAGGAGAAGATAACGATCGGGTGTTGGAGTAGTAGTGTGCCAAGATATATAACACCCACACGTTTATCTTATATAGTTTTGCATCACCTTATATAACAGTAGTTTAGATACAGGGTGATCAGGGCAACTTGCCCATTTTTTTATGAAGATGGTAAACAGGAATAATATCATTTGCCAAAATTTAACTGTTTTTTAAAAATCATATCGATACGATATTAATATTTTAAAATTTAAAATCTATTGAGTACAAAATACATGCAAAAAAAAAATATTGTAAATCATAATCTTAAAAATTATCTTATTATAGTTAGACTTTATTTTTAGAATTATTTGATTTTTTTTTTTATTCTATTGTTATTTTCTGAAAAATTACTAATATTGTTTGTATTCATAAAAAATAGTTCTAATGATTTCTAAATAATGCGCAATTTTAAGATCATTTTTTATATTTTAAAAGGTAAATAACATTTTCTTAATTAAGGTTATTTTAATTGTAACTATTCTGAAATATTAAGAACATCAAATTTAATCATACGATATTAATTGCACGTGTGTGTGTATGTGTGTGTATGTGTGTATGGCTATGTTCATATTAAAAATGAGACGTTCATAAACATTTAATATTAGAAATCTATAAAAAAAATAGTTGTGATAAAAATATCCAAGTCATTCTATAAATAATAAAATTAAAATTAACACAATAGAGAAAATATATAAGCATTTTTATGTACTTTGATTGGTATAAATCAGAAGTAGGGAGAGAAGAATTGGCAAGTTTTATCGTTCTGTGAATAGGCCGTTATATTGGCGTAGTCTATAATATTGAGAACATAAAATACATCTATGAACCTCGAAAAATGAGTTGTAACTCTATAAATTCTACACGTAGCTACAAATAATAATTTTATGTTAAATACTTATAATGTAATAAAATATATATATATTATGTGCATACTTAACAGTAAACTTATGTCGATTTAAAATTTGCAGTAAACAAATTATTTAAACGAAATCAGCTATTTAAAGATATTGAGTTCACTGAAACCATATCATGTGCTAAATTATTTTTCAAATTAATTTTACTCACGAGGCCTTTGAATAACGTCAACGTGCATTTAATGTAAAATATTTTTATATTAAACGTGTTTAAGATTTCTAGAACATATTAATTAAGTACCCAATCATCTCTTATAATTAAAACGATCTTATTAAACGACGACGTGGTTCGATTCGTTAGTTCTATTTATCTTATATTTATATATGCCAAACGGGGCCTACTATTGATTTATTTGTATATACGTGTTAAAGTTTTATTTTTACGATGGAAATACAAACCAAACGGTTCCACTTGACCCAAAAATCAAAATACATTCATAAAATTATGATTTATCTCATCCTCAATACGAGTTAGTTTCTTTAATTTTAATGCTCTTGTACACCTTTTACACGGTAGTTTTTCTTATTTAATGAAGATTATTTTAAATATTTACAATGTATATGTGTAATACGAATACCATACAACACTTACAATGGGTACTATATGATGTGCGATTGTCGATAAGAATTTATTTTAAAATGTTTCATGTTAAACTATTATACTGATATTTGTAAAATAATAATATGATTTATTAATTTCCGACTGAGTTAAAATATAAGCTGTTTGTGAGATTATTCTACATGAATTAGTAACGAACATTAAATCTAAAGAGTTAGAGTTTGCTTATTTATTTGTTGATCTATTTTATTTTTTTTTTTTTATAGTTTTTTTGGTATAAATTTCTTTTAATTTTAATTTTATTTCAATTTAAACTGTCATTGATTTTATAAAAGCAGTAACAAATGTTAAAAATATATGTGAATATAATATATCGGGATTTTTTTTAACTAGACGGAAAGATAATGCAACAAAAAATGTAGTCGATTTCATAAATATTACTGTAAAATATAATTTAAACATTTGAGTTCGTATTTATGTAGTAGTAGTAGTATAATACAATGTAGTTATGTCTTGTTTACCGAATCTATGCCATTCTAATTCACTTATTTTTTAACTATATTTTGCACAGTCTTATAGATTTTAAATATATTAATAAATCAAAAAGAAAAATCTGTGAAAACAATGAAAAATCATCATAGTTGAAGAGTGAAAAATAACAAACACTGGCAAAATGTATATTATATTATTAAATTAATCTAATTTTATAGAATATCTTATTGCCCAATATGAATGTTATTCAAAAGTTTTTTAGCACAGTAATAAACTTATCGAAAAATCTTATTTATACGATATTATTTACCTTGTTAAAAAATAAATATTCGTAACGTCAATGTTCACAAAATTATATTTTTAATTACTAAAACCTTAATTTATTTTAAAATTTTAAAATAATTAAATGAGAAGCCAAAAAATACACAATGTTAGTTTTCACCTTGCTTGTTTTCTGACAAAACGATTGATAATAAAAAAACAGGATCATAAAAATAAAATACCGTATCGAGAAACACCTTCGATGAGTAGACCTTAGTCCTTAACAAATGCCCCATGAGCTGACTTTTTGATTTTGATTTTATTCTGAAACAGAAAATAGTGTCTTACATGTATATTATATTAATTTGACAAAGTATTTTTATATTGTATAAATGAGCTTCTATGTACGAACCATATTGCAAATTTTTAACCAAATGAATTCCTGTATTATTTTTAATAGTATTATGTTAGAGTTGTTTGAAATGTGATATATAATGTGTGTCAAGCTCCTAGTAGTTAGGTTATAAATTATACTTGTGCTTATAAATTAACGGATATAAAATAGTTTATTTTTTGATTTATATTTTATTTTTATTTTTATTCTTATATTTGTAACTTGTCGTTTTTAATATACAGTGTGTCCCATAAGTTCCGTATCACCCTTAATATCTCCACGGGAAATCAATATATTTGAACGCGGTTTTTTTTAACAATACTTAATATGAAAATTCTGATCGAATGGCATAAAATTAAATTTTATTTTTAAAAAATTCAAAAATTCAAAAAAAAAATTGTTATGTATTTAAGAATTTTCAATTTTTAAGACAGCCATTTTCTTGAGCATACTTTTTAAAACAGTTCAAAAAAAAAATATTAAAATTGAATAAAAAATGACCAAGTTAGAGCAAATTATGTTTTTGAATAATTATAACAAAAAAATGAATTGTTTTACATTTCAATAATCCAGTTTCGTCACCTAGGTCGTTCGATTTACTTCCAATGGATTTTTTTTTTTTTTATGGGGTTATTTAAAAAATTTTGTTTATCCGTCGTGTTCATTGCCTGATCTCCGTGAGAAAATTGAACAAAATATTCAAAATATTTTACCTGAGACATTAGAATATGTTAAATATGCTTGGGTCCAAAAACTTCAGCTCTGTGTTACAAATAATGGAGGTCACTTCTAATATATATAAAAAAGAATGTAATGCATTATTTTCGTTTTTATGTAATAAAATCTTCTTTTTTTTTCTATTAACAATCAAGTTTAAAAATGTTATATGAATTTTAATTTTAATATTTCCAAAAACTCCACTAATAATTAAATATTTACAGATTGCCATAAAAAATCATCGTTTCAATTGAGATTGATAAAATCGAGCAATTCGTGTTTTGCTAGATAACAACTATTATTATAATTATTCAAATACATAACTTGCTCTAATTGATCAATTTTTATACAATTTTAATATATTTTTTTTTTTAACTGTTTTAAAAATGTTTTAAAAAACATGCTCAAGAATCTTAAAAATTGAAAATTCTTTAACACATACATTTTTTTTTTTAATTTTTGATTTCTTTTAAAAAAAAAAATTAAATTTTATGTCATTTGATCAGAATTTCCATACTAAGTATTGTAAAAAAAAATCCGCGTTTAAATATATTGATTTCCCGTGGAGATATTAAGGGTGATACGAGACTTATGGGACATACTGTATTAAATCATTATTGTATTCATACGACAGTACAACATTTACTGAGCCTATAAAATTACTTATCAATGATAAGTGATGATAATGATAAGTCATCATATTAGCAACGAAGAACGATATCTTATAGAAGAGAAAATGCTTTGTAAATACTTTGAGTGAAATAAAAGAACTAAAATAGTTTTGTGAAAAACATTGTGAATATAAATTAAAATATAAATCAAATCTATAAAAAAAAAAAGGATCGAAGCAAGAATTCAGGTAAGGAAATAGCACTTTTTTTCCCGCCAACCAAAATTATATAAATATTATAGAACAGATTTTTTTTAGTATAATTATTTACTTATATTTGAAGGCAATAATGAATCAACTGTTGATCGAAAATCGAAAATAGGTTCTATTCTCATACACATTAAATATTTTTCATTTTAAAATGACAGTTGTTTAAGTGTTTCATAACGAGGAAATCTTAATATTTTATAATCTTTAAATAAGACTTCAAGTCCAAAAATTTAATTTTATAGAAAAACATAATGTTAATAAAATAAATAAATGATACCTGCAACTAAAACAATTTCAATTTATAAATAAACATGAGCTAATAATAAGAAAGTTTTTTAATAATAGATTAAAATTAAAGATAAAAATTGTAAAAAAAAAACCATCAATTTATTTACAAGATACATACGATACTCTTTCGATGTAGATTCACGATCAGAAAATAAAATAATTATTGTACAACCCAATACGATATTGTATATACTTTTATATAAGTACTCGTACATTCATTTCACTCAAAATCTAAAATAGAAAAAGGTATAATAATTATTCGCTTTAAATTAGACTAGTAAGACAATTTTTTTCAATTTCAACTAATCTTGTGTAAAAGCATTTACACCGTATAAACAGGGCCGTATTAGCGCATAGGCACTATAGGCACTGTACCTAGGGCCTACGAATAATCTATGGCTACGATTTATATTATGTAAATTGGTGTAAAAAATTTTTTTTTATAGTTTTTGACAATTTATATTACATATGCTTTGGCTTAAAATGAATTTTTTTTAACATTTGTTAAAAATGTTATCGTATAATAGTTGTCATATAAAAGTTTAGGTTTGATTTTTAACATATGTTGTAAATATTATTGCTTTTAAAAGCTTAACACTGTATGAGATTCAACACTTGCTCTCCCAAAGAGAAGGTTTCTTAACCATTTAAATACTGGACAACGGCCCTGCAAGGACTAGGTGCCTAGGGCCTACGATAATGTTAATCCAGGCCTGCGTATAAACATTAATCATAAAAAGTAATTTAACCAGCAGCATAATTGAAAAAAATATATTGAAAATTATAATGCCGTGAATTTTAAAAGTTACGTTGATAAACGATAATTTTATTTCATGGGCCACAACTATGCGAATACATCACTGGATTTTTGGCTAAATAGTATTTTTTCATGTTCTTAAAAATAAATATCAAAGCGCCGTGTATGTAGCTACATAATATACACCTCAGTTGTTTATAATTGACCAAGGATAGCAATGCACGTACATATAGTAGTGAATAAAATATACATATAGCGCGATCTATTTTTGACATAAAACAAAAAATACTTTCTTGTGCTATACTACACTACTCCGCCAGGGTGCATTAGTATACATAAGTCTTATTTAATATGTATGTTAAATAAGAAAAAAAATCAATGAAAAGAAACTATTATTATTTATGTATGTTTTCTATGTTATCAGAAATATAATTTTAAGTTCATGTTGAAAAATTAATTTTGTTCAATACATAATTGATAATATTATGTAAATAAAATATATAAAAAAATATTAACTTACTATTCATAACAGCATATATGTTTATATACGCACATGTATATTGCTTAATCGTGTTATATTCAAATAACTATTGTTAAAAAAAAAAAAAAAAAAATGGTTGTAAAATAATAATAAATAAAACTATAAAATTACAAAATACGTATAATGATTGAAAATTTGTTCAAAATATAATACTTATAATAAATTATAACCATTGTATATACTTATACAATTATTATAATCCATGAAGATAAATAGTTAAGAGGTAGACTAATGAAATAATAAAAAAAAATTGTTATGGAAGTATAAAAAAGAAAAAATAATATTGAAATTGGGTAGTTAGAGAAATTAGAATATTTCTGTCGGAGAAAATAATTTGGAATACATCATATATAATTATATATGTCATATATTATCTTATCAATATGGAGTATACAATGTAAGTCACTGTCCAAGAGTATCTGAAAAGTGAGAAAGAGAAAGTTTGAAAATTAATGAGATTAGAGTTGAGCAATGACAATGATTCTTTGTGGACACCACATAATAAATTAAATGTTGGTTTGGTCATTTAATCTAAATAAATAACTAGTATAAACATTTTGTTTTTATTTACTCAGTTAAATTATAATTGAAGGTAATAATTACATTAACATAGTATTCATAGTTCAGTTATGACGAAATAATATCTAAGATCATTCCATTACGAGTATAATAATGTTATCACGATTTGAAAATTTATTATATTTGTTTTATGAGAGTAATTTTATTATACAATATATGTTTCATTCGATACGACTTATACTTAAAATAAGGCAATCATAATACGTCATTTGAGTTTATACTAAGATGTTAAATAATCAATGTATTATCATTAAGGAACGGATTTTAATTTAAATAAATATTTTTATGTAGTTTTAATATCAGAAAATTTTTGACATAATATAAAATATATATATATATTATATGAACGTTTCATTTAATTTTGAATGAACTGATGCTAATTTCATTTTAAATATTTTACTAATAAATATACGTAATCTGTATTATTGTAGAATTTCCGTTTTTATTTTAGTATTTTACGATGGACGAAAATATATGATTAAGTTTGTACATTATCTTATCTAGGAAGTAGGTACAAATTTCAAAAAACTTGAAAAATAATTTAGCATTTTCATTTTGGACTTTTAGTTGATACTATTTCAAAATTAGAAACTGCTAAATGGCATTAACCGAGTGCCTAGAAATAGTAGATAATGCCATTAAGCAATTAGAACACGTTCCTCGAGAAATTAGAGTTTTAACAAACTCTAAATCACAAAACATATTGAGAAAAAACCCAGGATTTAAAGTTGTAAAGTCGAAAGAGAAATACTATTAAACAAAACTCCAAATAGCAATTTATAAATAGACTACAATCCAAAAGAATTAACATGTATGAAATATGCACCTGTCACTTCCGTTGATGTGGAGAAATCATTTAGCCGTTTTAAACTAACACTAAGATCTAATTACCGAAATTTGAAATTTGAAAATATCATATTATATGTCGTTTCTAATTGTTTCTCCCAAGAATATTCGGATGATTCAGAATAATCATTTTTATTTTTGTATTATGAATTATTTATAAATTATAGTGAATTATATCTTATTTTCAATTTCAATATTTCAATATTATAAATAAATATTTATGAATTAATAAACAAATATATATTTAAATATTTTTAATTTTTTACTTAATTTAAATCAAATCCCTAATTATCACTATAATTTTCTGAGAAAAATATACAGT